GCTTTTTCCTCTTGATATAATACCACTATATATTTTTATTCAAATGTCAAAGAACTTTAAACTGAAGGGTTGAAAATGATTCAAGGGCTGTAAGGCACAATTTTCCTTGTAATAAAAATAATTACTGTCGGATTTATTTATTAGAATTTGCGTCAGGTGCTGCTGTTAATTTATATGTTTAAACCCATCAATAATTCAGAGGAACTTGACTGTTTTTTAGTTAGTATTGCTTAAAATCCACTGAAATAAACACGGTTCAAATTTTGTAAATTCACTATGTATAGTTGATTAAGTATGTATGTAAGAAGGTAATTTTTTTTTTTTTGCAGATATTCAGTCAGAACCCTAATTAGTCAGTCGCAACTATTGGTTCTAGATCCAGTTCAACATTATTATGTGTACACATTGAATGATTTTAGAATTTTTTTATTTACTGTTTTTGACAGCGAAGCTTATAAAGGGCAATTTCTGTCGATTGGCTTAATGTAAATCAGCATATAGATGGTTTAGTTCATCATTGCAACCCTGGGTAAATAAAAACCCTACGCAAGGTCGGTAATTTTCATTAATAGGCTATATAGTTGTCACCTCGTAATCTCTTATGATTAAGTGTGTGTAATGCTGAAAAAGTAGAATTTTACTACCAACAGTACACTTCAAAATTGATGAGCTACTATACTTGTCGGGGCCACATTCATTATATTTGGTTTCAATCTCTATTTAAAACCAAGGAATAGGCCCTAAGTAGATACTTGGAGATGAATGTAAAGTTGAGGCGTCCTGTGTAAGGTAAGAGTCAGAATATGGGGCCCTTGGATAATATATAGCGGTTAATGAGCATTTGCCTGTGTGTATGTATCGATTGTTCCTATGTTTACGTTCTTTTTTTGGAAATGTTCATAAAATATAAGTTGCCTTTCTTAGACTAAGATAACTCAAGTAATCAAGTAAAGTAATTGATGTTTTGCCCTACCTGACGTGTTATCGTACTGAATGCTCAGTACGTTTCTAAGTAGGCCTACTTGCGAAATAATATCACAAGTGCGAAATGATATCACAAGTGATTCGCGTGAGAATCGTTCATTGTGGTTAGTCGGCATTCGTTATTTTGTGAAAGTCTCATTTAGTGACGCGCCAGTTTACCAACAAGTTAACATAACTAATTAATAATACGCTAAAAACGAATGCTAATCGATCGTTTTACATATATTGTCTGTGTTCAGCTAACAAAAAGTTAATGACAAAATAGTTATTTATTTGCTTGCATTTTTATGTGATCTGGATGGAGACATTCATCCAAATCTAGGACTCGTTTGACTATTGACGTCCTCTCTTATCTCACCAAGCAAATCATCAACTGTTTTTTAAATGTTCAATGCTTTTGTTTCAATTTTTTTAACCCAGGCAAGAGGGTCGAATCTCACTTATCTTCTTTGCTATTCCACGCTTCAACCTTCACAAGCTTGGTAGACCTCAGTCTTATGGCTTTGCAGTTTCACCGCCAAATTCTAGGAAGACAACTTTGGACAACCATAACCACGAGTTTGTGTATTTTAAACCCTATTTTCTTCCACACACGTTTTCTACTGATTTTTTTCTCTTACCACTCTCCTTCCTCATGTTGCTATGAAGTTCTTGACCAAATATTTTGAACTAATTGGATAGGTTTAACTCGTCTTCTGATCACACAAATGAATGTCATTGGTTTAGTTAAGCAGCTGAGTTTGTGGTTGTTTTTTTCGGGAAATATCCTTTTTTTTTTTTCTCATTTGTGGGGTTGGACTTGGATTTTTTGGGGGGTGATACACACCAAGGATAACCAACAAAAGTCGTAAAACTTATTTTCCATGGGGTCCTTTTGGTGTTGAATTATGCAGTAACCGGGAGACAATCCCCCACTGTTTTCCGAAGAGTGAACTGCGTTTTTTAATTTGCACATTGGCTATTTTGCACACGAGACCAATGGCCTAAACGTCTCATCCGAAAGACGGTGCACATTTGAAACTTGCATTTTAGCCCTCCTGCTGAAGGAGAGCAGCGATGGGAACCGAACCGGGGACCAAAATATCTCCGCGGTTCAGCGCACATTCAGCGGCTACCACCAGCTGCTCTCATTTAACATGTGACCTACTTTTATTCATCATTGTTTTTTTACATTATGCAATAAAATGATATACTGTATTATAAAAAAAAAATTATAAAAACTGAATTGTATATAATGAATGCAAATTTGCTTTTACAGTACTGTATTTATAATTTTTTGTTTAGTTGAATATCTGTTTTTATGTGAATTTACATTAAATTTCAATACATTACCACATAAATTGTTGCACATTAACAATTGAAATTATAATCATAACAACCTGTATAGTTATTATCTGAAATACAATAGTTTTTTTTTCTTTAGTTTAATATCTATCCTTAATTGTTGCACATTAACCATTCAAAGTATAATCATAACCTGTATCATAAACTGTATATTTATTACCAGAAATACAATATTTTTTTCCTCAGTCGATTACATATTTCTGCTTATTTATTGTTTTTATGTGAATTTACATTTCATCTCAATACATTATCACATGAATTGTTGCACATTAATCATTTAAAGTATAATTATAACAGTAATACCTGCATATTTATTACATGAAAATACAGTACAATATATATTTTTGTTTATTTTTAATTTTTTTCCCTTGAGGCCAATGGCCACGTATTGTTCCCTTATGTACAATTTATCAATACACCAAAACGTAGCTTAGATTAAATTTTACGCCCTTTTTCGAAAGGAGATCTTTCTGGCGAGTACCAACCCGATGAAGACAGAATTGCTCACCATCAATGGATTAAAAAATCATGAATTTCTACCTATTGAAATGGTCTCATCTCAGCTGGATAAGCGTTCATGCACAAGAATAAACGGTACAATGGTACAAAAAGTACTTCACAGAAGGTTGGATGCTTTAACATGGCCAATCTCTTACACATGAGTACTTTATTTGTACAGATCCACCATTAGACCATGATTAGAGTACTGATAAAATCCAACAATGAATTATTCATCTTATCGAACCAGAGCTTGGTTCTGTGTTTGGCTGATTTGTGCAGTCTTACTTTCTCGTTATTTTGATCACCGTGGTCTGAAGAACTTCACTAGCTAATGCCTAGCTTTAAAAGCTTTGTTGATGATAAGCTTTATTTCCAGTTCCAAAACATGCTGTTTGGGGCTTGTTACACACCAATGCACGCTACATCTTATCAACAGTTACGTCCTGCATCTAACTTATTTATTTATTTTTTTTTTTGTGAATTTTTCTTCAAACTTTATAATAATATGGTTATATAATAATTTGTATTTAAGGCAAAATGCCACTGTGAAACACCAGTATGGTGATACTGTACTGTACAAATATTTAACAATATTAAATGTTTATATTATTATTATTATTAATAATATTATTATTATTATTAATATTATTTTAAATTATTATTATTGTTTAAGCATTGACGTATATATTTTAAATGGTACCTTCATGATAAGGAATGCAAATTTGCTTCAGCTTTTCTCAATCTTTTGGTCAGCTTCTCGTATATGAAATCATGTTTGCATACAATAATTTACTGCAGCAACTAAGATTTAATTACAGAACCAAAGGATCCAAATTAAGTCAAAGTCAAAAGCAGTCCATGAATAATTCTATACCAGACATCATTTATTATTATTGTTAGGCCCACAGTATATTAAATATTACTTTATTACCGTATATTCCGGTATGTAAAGCCGCGAATTTCGATCATCAACCTACTAGTAAAACATTTCGGATCGAGAACCAGGGCAAAACTCGCCTAGGTTAGGTCCAGGCCAGTCCAATTAATTAGCCTAGGTTTGCCTAGTATCTGTAATTATACTCACTACAGTGCGTACCAGAATTCCTAGATTTTCTTACCTTTCAAATTAGAATGAGAACATATTTTCTTTACCCATTACCAAACCCATGAAAAAAAAAATCAGTTCCTCCAATTATGGCATAGAAATTGACTGCCAGTAAAGTATTTTCGTAAAAAGATAATTTAAAGAAACAGAATACAATTGTTTGATCTGGGATGTTATCATATTTGATCTATTTACTTAAGGTATGCAATGAGCTAGGCCTATAAGGGTTATCACTGACAATATATTTCATAATAGGCAATAGTTGCATTCGTAAGAGTCATTTAAAATAATCAGGCTGAGCAAGATGATAGACCACGAAATCGACTAATTCTATGAAGATTGAATTATTTTAGAGCTTTCACTTTGGGTCTTGTAGATGTATTAATAAGAAACAAATTAGTGTCTTTTCATGATAACAAACGACAATTGTATAGTTATTTTGACAGTACTTTGATCAGTTAGATTAAATACCGGTACGAGAGATTTCTATACTTGGCCTTGCTTCTGTGATTGGCCAACATCTATTTGGATTTAGTGAGCCAGACCTGACTCGTGATTATCACTAAATAATATAAATTACATTTGTTAAACGAAACAAAATCCAATTAAGTTAAGAAGTGTAATTATTCCTGCGAATAATTCCAATGAAATGATTGCTCAGATTTTAAAATGGTTCTCTTACAAGCTGACGTCACAAGAAATAACGACTTAACATTCAACAATAATGATGAAAATAATAATTAGCAGTTCAAAGAATTGGAATATCGCAACAAACGTAAAATTCATGTTGGTAATGTAATATAAGCAAAATGATATATATCTCATTTGAGATTTAGCTTGCTGAATATTATGTAGAAAAGGGTTTATCTTATAAATATGATGCAATATTAGTGCTATATCGAAACTGTAAAATCAGACACGTTAAGTAAAACAAAAGTCTTCAGAGTCTACTGACTTGAATTCATGGCCAAGTGGTTATGAAGCTCGCCAATAAGAAAGATTCCGGGTAAAGATAAAAAAGAAAACTTTATTGATCCACAGAGGGAAACTAATTGCTTCTTTAATTTCCTATAATATTAAATATAAATATGTATACATATATATTATTATTATAAGTATCAATTATCATTATCATTTGTATATTTGTCATTTTTGTTATTATTGTTGTAATTATTATAAAAATATTAAAAAAAATACCGTAATTATCATCTTCATTGTTATAAAAAAATTGTGATTGCATGAATTTGAATTATTTGAATTTGTTGAATGACTGACATTCTACCACTAGGGTCGATTTGATCGTTAATTATATGATGAAGAGAATTTAAAACGGATCAAATTTGTCCTGGTGAGTAATACACGCCGACTATTAAGCCCAACAAAACAGGCAACACGCCCATACAGTACACATTGAACTAGGGAAATTAAACGATTTTAATAAGAATGCTTTTGCAGCGTAGTTTTTTATAATCTTAAAATTTAAACGCTTCAGGGATTAAGACACGAAAACCATAAAGAGAATTCGAAATATATTTTATGTCAAATAAAATAAACTTAACAAACTTATAAAATTTGCTTTCAAAGGACGTAAAATTAATTATTTTATAAAATCTTTCAACAAAACATAAAAAAATCATACAATGTGCAGTATTAATTTGAATCAGTGTAAAATGTAGTTAGTGATTGAGCTAAATAACACTGGCCCTGTTCATCGGATCCAACGACGACTTTATCATTTACAGCATTTTGAAATTATACATTATCTCTGGGCTGATTTTTTTTAAAGTTATGTGTACCCCCTCCCCCATTTTATGCTTTTAAGTAGTGCTTATAAAAGATTAAATTACTTTTTTTTCTATCTGTCCATCTAAATATTTTGTTGATTAAACTTCCTCAGAAGGTTGTTATCTCTTCCAAAAACAATATTTCAAGAGTTACCTCACTGTAAAAACAGCGTGGAGGATTTAAACACAATTTTTGTTTGCTTTTTGTTGGGTTTATGCATAGCAGCTTAATGTGCTCGGATCTATGTTTGATAACATAATATCAAAATAATAACTAAACACATTTATTGATAAGCTTGTAAGGAACCTAAACATATTAGGCAATTCCTAAGCATGTCTAGCTTTTTAACATGTCACCAAATGCAGGACAACATTGCTTTGACCGAAGTGCTTTAATCTTCCATTGTTGTTTACAGTGTTCTGCACCTTGCCCTTGTATTGAACATTGTAGCATGTTAAAAACCCTGTGTCTTCTTTAGGTGAACTCCCTACCTTTGTTAAAAGGTTAGACAAATTTAGATTAATTTAAAGTTAATTTAAAAACATATTTATGCTACAAACTCTAAGGGTAAACTGCGCCTTTTTTTGAAATTGGCAGATTACAAATTTTTGATTATTATTTTTATTATTACTATATTTTCAGGAACCACATATAGAAGCTCCGTATGTCAAGTCAAGCCACCAACTTTGCCAACTGACGGCTAGGGATGTCCCGCTAAAGCAACAGTATCAGATGAAATGTGACCAAGGAGTGAACCCCTACTACACTCATGAAGACAGCTTCGAATGTCGTTGCAGCCAGCCCAGATCACTGAGAACAAGCTATAGATATCGTGACGCAGAACTCTCATAGGCTAGTAATAAAATGTACTTTAATACAAAAACACTACGATTTCTGAAAACTATTTTCAGTTTCAATTCTAAATAAATTAACTTAGAAGTTAATGTGTTTTTACTTAATTCGTGGGGAAGTCTTTAAAATTTTGGTTAACTGCGGGCTCATTGGCAATGCCTTTTCAAAACACGAAATGATCTGCGATTTCTCATAAATCGTATTACTACTGAAAGTGATAACATTCAAACTACCAACGGTTCTCCGGCGATGTACCGTAGGCCTTAACATCAATTGATTTGATTCTGTTGTACACTCTAGGTGGGCGGCAATTTGTCATTCTATTTATTGTTGTGTATGTGTTCTAGAAATTCATGTTGAAAGAGAAGAGCAATTAACGTTAACATTTAAGCTGAATAACATTGTAACCTGCCTGATACTAAACGGTATGATTACATGGTTCATTAGAGTAATCTGAGATAGACCCGAGCGAGATTCTGCCTGATACGACATGTAAGCAATACACGGGTCTGAGCCATGGCTTAATAGTCTGTTTTAGGGTAGCAATAAACATATATTACTGAAAATATTTTGTCATTAAACTAACAATACAGTAAAACAGAATAATGTTTAGAGGGTATGATTTTATGAGGCATTTACAATGTAGCATATGTTAAAGGTTGTAGATAGTGCTGAATCCCTTTATTGACATAATACACATCACATAAAATATAAAAGAAACGACGTAACATTAAGTACAGTAAACACCCGTTTATAACAACCTAGTTTTTTACAAATCAGTCTGAATAGGTTTTTATATATCGGGTGTTTAGTGGTAAATCTGGATATTTTGTTAATTAGTTAGGTTCTTATTAGTTCAAGGGTTTATATTGTTTGTTACTGTTCAGAATAGTACACTAATCCCATTATATCAGAATCTACTAAATCATACTAAATCGTCTACATTTCTGCTTCATCATGATACAGAATCGAAGGAATGGTATCAAAATTATAAACTTATCTCAAATGTCAAGCCGAATTAGTTTTTATATAATTGAAGAAAATATAATATTTCCGCCTGAATGTTCTTATTTTACAAGGAGAGTTTACCTACTGTAAAGAAACGACATAAGTAAACCAGATTCATTTAAGTATTAAGATAAGAAGTATAGAAAACAATATACATACATGTAAGCATAGGCTATGCTTTACCTTTTACTCTTTTGATTTTTACCATTAAAAATTAAAATTATTTATCTTTGTGATTGATACTGAGATTCTTCTTAATATAATTTTAACTGTCATAATTACTATTCTAAAGAGTTTTCAAAACGACACGTCCCAATTATTGAAAATTACTTGCCTGCTCCTCCTAGACCTACTTTAAAGTGTGCAAGCATGAATAAACAAGGAACTGTGTAGGCTTATGTGTTGTATGTGTGTGTGTGTGTGTGTGTGGGTGGGTGGAACCAACCTATAGACCGTCATTATAAACGATATCTGGTTGACTTATGAAGAGCTAGAACAAAACAAAATATGCAAATTGCATTACCGCAACTAACGTAATCCCCTTGAAGCATTATCTAGCGTTATTGTTTCCATAGTTCAGTTTTGTGAATTTGTTTTATTTTATTATTTTGTCTTGTCTTGGTATCCTGTTTTGCTAGCTATCATACATAACCTTCACACTTCGCCATTCGAGTACGAAGCTAAAAACTACTATATTTTATTTCATATCTTTGATACTGATCATCCAAATTCTCTTACCAGATCTATGATTTCATTTCATTATCACAACCCTATATAATTGTTTTTCTTGACAAGCTTTGGTAATTGGTGCCGATATTTTTTGACTTCAATTCCTGTTTTTAATTCACAGATTTAAATGTATTTTAATTTGTTATTTATTTTAAAGTAGTTTTTGATAAGCATGTAGTATGGTTTGAATTGGGTTTTTTGTGTTCATGTAACAAACAATTTTTAAAAATAATTTGTTTTAAAGCGGTTAGATGGGTAGATTTTTTGGTAAGAGTTGATAGCCTTAAACCTTTATTACATTTAATACGCCTATTAATTATTAAAATTAGTTTCATTGTATTAATTTATCAGTATTGCTTACCGTTAATTGTTAAACATTTTATTTCAAAATTTTGTCTGTTGTATATTGTTGATATTGTCAATTTGGATGCACCACCTTTTTGTGTGCCACCAATCTACAGGTGTTATATTCTAATACATTTTATTAATCGATTGGTTGTCCCCTCATAAAAGTAGAAATGATAGTAATTTTACGTGTTGTACGTCATATTTGAATAGGAAAAATCTCTACCTAATAGTGCAACTCCATATTTATCTATGGGGCTTTTATAACCGTTTAGTTGCAACTGGTCGAAATAAGAGTTGCACAATTTGTTGTAGAGTCAGCCTTTTTAGTTAAGTTTATAGTAGTTATATCATGGACTGTACAGTTAAAGGTTCTTGGTTAGATGCTGACCTGTTTTATATAAAGGATAGCGATTCAAAAGACGTGTATATAATTATGTGTACTATGTGGATCAGAATCATATATTTTATTTGACCTTTCGGAAATTACAGTGGAACACAATTGCTCTCTAAACATTCACAAAATTAACAGACACATATATAAGTATAAGTACAAAATCAAAACAAATTACTTATTACTGAATATATTTAACTGAACATATTTTTGGTGCATGTCAATATCTATCGTTGCATAACTACATTGTCATTATCGTCTTGTCGATAGGCTTAATAAATCGCAGAATAATATTGCATAATGAACTGTCTCATCTTAAGTCGTTTATCCCGCATTTATCAAAGGCTTTTCCTATATTAATTCCCTGGCAGACTTCTCAAATCAGGGATCTTAGAGGTTTAGGCTTCATATTCCAAAAACGACACGTGATATTGATTTGACGTAACAGATATAATACCTTGGTTCTTTCAAACGATAAAACGATAAATTTAATATACATTTAAATTGAATGAGTATGGCTTATAGTTAGGTTTTACTATTTTTTCTCATTTTAATGTCTATTATCAAAAAAGGCTCCTTCATTTAACTCCTAAAAATGTAATGTTTAATGGGCCAGTATAGGTTTTTGTAAACGATTTCTCATTAATCATGGTAAGTACTCTTTAAAGTATGGCAACAAAGGGCCTATTGGCACACAAGGTAAGAGTGACGTCACGTCACGCCCTAATGTGAAGTGTTGATTTCCAAACATTCCTACTGTTATGCTGTACCCATACAATTTTTACATATAATGTAATTTATTACCCCTCAAACCAAAACAAATATAGCGCCTCTACAAAATCGCCAAGCATACGCCCTCCCACGACACAAATTTATTTTTCTTTAATTTTACGAAAAATGTGTTTTCTAATGAGCTATAAATGGTACCGGAGATTAATATATTCTGGCCATCGATTCCACAAAAGGCCACTTTATGACCTTTACCTTCGTGGTTTAGACAACAAACACCTACAATTTGAGAATGATGAAGTCGGTACAGAAGTAGAAATTGTAGATCGATAGGACAGACAGCAGTATCTTGAAAGCAGTTCTATTCTGTGAGAGATAAATGTAATTATTATGCTATCTTATATTTGGTAAACGGCTGACACGCTGGTTATGAGGAAGTCCATGTGACAAGGAGTTTCAATATCAAGAGGTGATGTGGTAAAAGCCTGCTCAATTTTGCCAGTTGCTGTTCCATCTATCGACCATCCGACAATGTATGTTCATGAATGCGTCCTATCACTCTATTAACCAAAGTACGTCTGTAACATTAAAATTAATTTTCTTTTTTCGAAATTACTGCATTCTAAGTAGATCTGACATATACATTTCCTTCCCACACAGAAGACCAATAATCTTCAACGCAATAACATTTACTGGTCAAGAAGTATGGTCTTCCTTACCTCCCCCGGCACATGCTGCGTTTTTTATTTTGGTAATATGTAGACATATGGAGAAAGAGAAACTCCATACAAGAACATTGCAGTTCCTTTACCATGATATTGATCAGAGTTTCGAATGAAGAAAATGACTGGTACAGAGTGAAGCTGAACCATCTGACAAAGTCAATTTACGACCAGATTTTAAAAACAGCAGCACAAATTCAATGTAGGCCTATGCTAAGCTCATTAAAATTGTGGTGATACGAAATGGGCCCAACGTTGTTGTTATTATGAATACGATGTAATCTTTTGTGAATCCATTTTGCCTTCCATTATTTTTACATAATTTTAATTCCTCGGTGGCAGTCTCCAAATATCTATAACTCCTAACGTAGATGCCAGCCTAAGCCACAGTTCGTTATTTGTTACACAACTCAGTTGTTGCCCTCATTTCTGGTAATAACAGAAAGTCGCAATGGAATCCGTTGTGCAACTACAGTTTTGCCTTCCATTATAATTACATAATTTTAATTCCTTGATAACGGTCTCCAACTATCCCCTACCTAAGCCACAGTTCGTTTATCTGTTACACAACTCAGCTGTTGACCTAATTTCTGTTAATAACAGAACATTGCAATGGAATACGTTGTGCTACTACATCTTCCAAAAGGATTAACTATTTAATCGATGCTTGAAAATTCGAAAATAAATGTTGTGTATTTTATCTTCATGTAAAAGAATATTGCGCCCTCTATACTGAAAGTCAGTACGATAATCCAATCGACCAGACACTAAAATTACGTATTTCTGCAATGTTCCGTTTCACACTTTCTTAATTTTTTTAACATGTTTCTTTATTATATTTGTTTACACGCATCTTCGATCACAAAAGCCATGACTGTTTTCAAATAAGAGACTGATCTAAATAGTATACAATAGTAAAATCGAAAATTTGTCACATTTACAATTATATTGTTTAACAATTATTGGTAAGATGTGTGTCGTGAATTTTGAATCCAGTTCAGTTTTTTTTTTAACAGATGATTATACTCGATCACGGCTAGAAAATATATGGTACTTGTAAATTTCAAAGTTATTTTACAAAAATAACCCCCCGCCCCACCCCGCACATACCCTAGATACGCCACTGTACAAAAACACACCGTCTAAATCATAATAGGATCAAGAAAACTAATGTTCGTGGTGTGGACTAGTTCGTACAGTGTCCGAGCTACCAGGTAAATCGGTGCCAGCTACTCCGTCTAGTCTTTGCACAGCTGGGGCTGAATGGACCACTTAGACGGGGATAACGAGTAGAGGACTCGTCTCAGAAGATGTACTACTGGACCTACGATTTAAATAGACTTTATCCAAAAAGTGTTTTCAGGAAGCCAATATAGTATAATTATGCATGACATCACCATACAAGCCACGCCTAACAAATATTTTGCTATTTGACTATAGAGGGCAGCATACCAGAATTATTAAATTCCAAACGTTGTGTTTTCAGTTATTCTCTCAATTTTATTTCGTTCACACCTTATTTCTGATTATTTTATTTCGTTGGAATACGTATTGTTTATACCATTGAATAGGATTTACTGTTTAATCAAGACTTATTTCAAACTAAATATTTACAAAATGATTGTAACTTACGTCTTCTCATTCATTAAATGTGTAGTGCACCCTCTGTAGTAAGTAACACGGGTCAATACTGTAATGGTTAAACAAGACTAAGGTATTAATTTGTATTTCGACGTGTTTTGCTTTACACTGGATTAAAAAGTTGTAGAACTGTTTAAAGATGTATTGTCCCTTGCTAATGTTAAAAAATCATAAAATAATTTTGAAATAAACTTGCTCATATTGCAATAGCATACAAATTATTAACTTGTGCATAAACATTATTGAATTAAAAAATGTGTACCCGGATTTTAAACTAAGAAATTATAATAAAAATAATAAAACACTTCCAGACGGTGACTGGAAGTGTTTCTATCATTTTTCGTTGTGAACTGATGGGTAAACATTTTTTAAATACACTAATTTCTATGTTCAATTTGATAACTTTTATGTTACTTCAAAATGGGCAAGTTAATTTCAAAAAATATTTTTATGATTTTTTTTTTGGTATTTAGCATGGGACAATACATCTTTAATCGATAAAAAAACCAAGCACAATTTGATGTATTTGATTATAAAAAAATAATAAAACACTTCCAGTGACTGGAAGTGTTTCTATCATTTTTCGTTGTGGACTGATGGGTAAACATTTTTTAAATACACTAATTTCTATGTTCAATTTGATAACTTTTATGTTACTTCAAAATGGGCAAGTTAATTTCAAAAAATATTTTTATGATTTTTTTTTTGGTATTTAGCATGGGACAATACATCTTTAATCGATAAAGAAAACCAAGCACAATTTGATGTATTTGATTATTAAAAAAAATAATAAAACACTTCCAGTGACTGAAAGTGTTTCTATCATTTTTCGTTGTGAACTGATGGGTAAACATTTTTTAAATACACTAATTTCTATGTTCAATTTGATAACTTTTATATTACTTCAAAATGGGCAAGTTAATTTCAAAAAATATTTTTATGATTTTTTTTTTTTTGGTATTTAGCATGGGACAATACATCTTTAATCGATAAAAAAAACCAAGCACAATTTGATGTAAACTTACTGAGAGCTTTTGTCTATGTTGTCAACATGACTTAATCAAGCTATGTGAGCTAGTAGCCGTAAGTTGACATCAAATTTTGCTTGGCTCATATCGATTAAACAGTTCTACAATTATTAATAGGGAGCTGTCGATTGCACGACAACAGTAGGACGTAGAACGTAATGACGTCACTAAAAGTCATCTGCGCATGCGAGAACGTTAAGGTCACCTCGTCGAGTAGATTCTGGAACGCAATTTGGCCAAATCAACGTATGCAGAGAACGTAGGACCCTGGTGGGACGGTCACGCATGAGTGATTCCGTTCTAACGTCGCATCGTCGCACAAATCGAAAGCTCCCTACTAGCAAACCAGATGAAACTATTCGTGTATATTTTATTCTTGAATGTGTATTGCGCCCTCTTTACTAAGTAACACTCATCAGAGAATGGTAAAAATAAATAAAGCTAATGCATTAATTTGTATTTCGGCATAGTTTTGCTTCACACTTTCTTGATTGAAAAACAAGGTTTATTTTTAATCTTTGATATATTTTCATAATCATTATTCTGTACAAGGAGATTCTAACACCTATGTAGTTAATAATAAACGGTTTGACAACAAATACACTAATGAAAAAGTATCAATTCTGTTATCCATTCCGAGGATACATAACATGAAATGATTAATTACAAATATTCATCCTTGCAATTTTAATCATATTTTATTCACAATGACAATGGACATCGGAAAACAATTTGTATAATTATTTTCTTCAGTGCTTTTGTTTCCGGAAGGACCGAATGTTAATATATTTCGGCATTATGAGAATGTATGACATGGATTAAAATAGATGACAACGTAGATTATTAGTGTACTCAAGTGTTCGATACTACTAAGCGAATGGACAGATTAGTCATTTTATTAATAATGGCGGCTAAATAGAATAATGGATGGGAAAAATAATGAGCTCGACACAAAGTATATCAGTAAAATGATTGATTGATTCTTTATAAATTTTGCCGCAAGAAAAATATCGGTATAAGTTCAAAAACGGAATACATATGAATGAACATTGTATGTTTACTTGCTGTTGTTTGCATATTAATCAACTTATTATTTGCGTTAACTCTTGAAACAATCTCTATTTAATAGGAACAAACAAGTATACTATGATTTGATAGGAAATTGTACTTCCG